AGACTTTCCAGCCCCAGCTGGCTTTGCACTATGATCCTCAGATCTTGGCCTCCTGAGTACCTAGGATTACAGGCATGAGCCACTAGCATCAGGCTACAAAATGAGTTTTTTGAGTATCCCACTCACCTAACGATTAATGAAAGGCTTCATTCCAGCCTATTTAGTGAGTCAACTACATCTCTAAGTCTCTTACACTTCAACAAAAACTTGTGCCAAAGTAAAAACAATTGCTTTTGGTCTACTGAAAGTGTATCTGTATACTAATAAACTTGAAAGTGTATCTGTATACTAATAAACTTTCCTATCATTTCCATTACTCAGGGCCTAGATTCTGTTACTAAGTATAGTTTCCAGAGCAGGCTGGATTCAAACTGTGATCCTAAGTTTCAACCTCCAGAGTAGGTGGGATTATAGGCATGAGCCACTGGCATCTGGCGCTAACTACTTTCGTGTTGTGGTCTGTAGAGTCCGTGTGCCCCAGCAACCCCTGCTGTTGGTTTTGTCTAAGTCATTGTGTACAACAATTCATCCCTGACAAACAGAATCCAACTAAAGTGATGAGGTGCCATTCTGATACTAAGCTTAAAAAGACTGTGGCTTCCGCCTAAGGAGAGCCAGCAGTCAAGGCATGGTGTGACCCAGTGGAGAAGCTTATATTACAAAAAACTGAGGCCTGCCACCACAAGATGACCCAACACCAAGAGCGTCTGAAAAGATGAGGGCAGAGCCTGTACACAGAAGCTAACAGCCACAGCATTCTTGGTTGCTGAAGGTAAGCAACTAATAACTAATGACCGGCATGAGACCTTCTTTTAGGGCTGAGGTGGGTATAAAATTATGCTGTGTTAATGGGTGTACAACTGAAAATTGGCTTAAATCCACTGATCTGGACACTTTAAAAGGTCCCATTTTATGGTATGGAAATTATATGATAATCAAGTTGTGATTTTAAAACTAAAAATACTTTAAAATTTTTAAAGGAGACAATCCTTTCTATAAACTACCATTTTCATTAAATGACTTAATGAAGAGAAATTTAAAACAAAGAAACCTTTAATGTGAGGGCAGGGTGTGGCAGGAATAGAAAGTAGAAGGCAAACAAGGGTAGGAAGAAACCTCAATGTATATAAATTGGAAAATAGTGAAGAATTGCTTTTTACAGAGAAATACATGCCAAGTACTGAGCTGCAATTTGTACATACAAAGCTAATTACATGATTACTAGTCAAACCACTCACTTTCATTATCAACTTTCACACCAAGCTTCTGAAAAATTAATAAATGTACCAAAGTAAACAACAGCATTAATGGAAAAATGCATAATTCATCAAAACCCATTATCAGTACTTTTCCTAACAATTCAAAGTTAATATTAAAATGTTAAAATTATTATGCTAGGAACTAACCTATGAATATTAAAAATAGAAATTTATCCAGAGATGGTGGCACATGCCTATAATCCTAGCACTAGAGAGGTGAGGCTGGAGGATTATTGAGTTGAAGCCAGCCTGGGCTACATACAGAGTCTGAGGCAATCTAAGCCACCCAGTGACACTTTGTCTCAAAAAAAAATAGGGAGGGGGAGTTATGTGAAAGCTAATCAAAGAAAGCTCTCCATCCTTTCTTCCTTCAGAGAACGTCTCCCTGTGTGGCCCAGGAAGGCCTCAAGTGCACAAGTATATGCCACCATGTCCAGTATGACATTTTTATATTGTGGCCCTCTAGACAGTTACTATTTTATAATCTAGTTTTCACTTACGATAGCAAATAGTTCTCTATGATTATACATCTTCCTACTAATGCAAATGGGGGGCATGCTAGTTATATCTTGCTACTACTACTAAACCATAATGAACTTGTATACTGTAACTAACTTTTTTCCCATTGTAGACAATTAGGCAAGAAGTATCTACCACCATGTGTACTTTGCATTTTTTTCAATTACTTACTGTGAATGAAAAACTTAAAAGGGTAAAACTACTAGGCCAAATGACAGGCTTGATGTATTAATACACCTCCACATAAAAAATGGGAAAAGGAAAAAGCCAGGCGCCGGTGGCTCACACCTGTCACCCTAGCTACTCAGGAGGCTGAGATCTGAGGATCAGGTTCAAAGCCAGCCTGGGCAGGAAAGCTTTTGAGACTTTTATCTCCAATAAACCACTAGAAAACCAGAAGCGGCTCTGTGCTCAAACGGTAGTGCTTGCCTTGAGCTGATGAGTGCAGGGACAGTGCCAGAGTTCAAGCCCCATGATGGACCAAAAAAAAGGGGAGAGGAGAGGAGGACCCAAACATTTTATTATTGGTATTATTAGCACTGAATGATGCTATACTTGACTTGTACTAGT